CGGAGACCAGGGCCACCGAAGCCGCCGCCGGCTCCGAGCCCAGGCGGGAACGGAAGGAAGTCAGCTTCTTCATGCTCGCCCTGGGCCGACAGCCAGCGCGGGTCCACCAGCGGCGAGAACGGGCTGTGACCCCTCCGTTCTGCGCGCAAGCGCGTCGCGCGCGTCGGCGGCCCGGGCCCTCCGAGCCCGCCAAGGACCACGCCGCATCGAGGCACCCACGACCATTCGCCAGCTGATCCACGTACACGCACTGGCATGATATCAGAGTCTGGACGCGCACTGCGCCCCCTTCCTCGCCGGCTCACCACTTCTCGGCACTCAGCCACGCGAAGTGGGTCAGCAGCTTGCGGGTCGACGGCTGACTGCCCAGAGGACTCTGCTCCCGAAAATACTGGAACACGGCCATGGGCGTCGCGTCTTCCAGGCGGATCCCGAGAGCACGAGCCAAATTCTCCTTCATCTGCCCGCTGACTCGAGGCCCGTGCCGAGCGCGCGCCCGCCGCCACTCGCGGCGTCGCGCAACGCCCCGCATCTGAATCATCGCGGGCGCGCCCTCCGCGGAGAGACCCGCGGTGCCTGAGCCCGCTCGGCAAGCGAGCGAGGGGCCTGCTGGCGCGCGAGAGCTTCTCGCAGGCACGCCAGCGCGATGTCCGGCGTCGACGGCGCGATCGGAGCTGGGTCCGAGGGCCCCCCCGCGGCGGCCTCCTCGGCGGGAACGGATCCTCAGCCGGGGACAGGAAGCCCCGGGGGCGGCCCACTTGCGAACGGGATCGGAGGCGGCGGGTCCTTGAAGGAAAGCCCGCGGGTCGCGGAGCCACCCCACGCTACCGCCAACGCAGAAGCGGGGGTGCCCGTCTTGGCCTGCACCCGCTGCGGGGCGGGAGGGGCCCGCGTCGCGAAGCTTTGCAGGTCGCGCAGCGGGATTCCGAGACGGGCGGCCGCGCCCTCGAACAGCTGAGGGGCGTCGCGACGGGGCACCTGGGTTCCCTGCGGATGCCCCAACAGAGGCAGCACTGGAGCCTGGTGCGGCAAAGCCGCCTGATCAGCCATCATCGCGCGCATCTCGGCCACGACCTCCGCTCTGGTCACGGGAGCGCCCTCGTCCAGGGCTACGACCGCCCGACCGGGAGCTCGCGGCTGCGCTGCCGGGAGGGGCGAGGCCGCAATCCCTGCGTAGACCCCCGGGCGCATCGGAGGAAGGGCCGCCGCTGGGGCCGCGGGCTCGCGTTCGCCGTCGCCTGCCGCCCCCCGATCCGAAATCGACCCGATCCCATCGACGCCCCCCGACGCCGCGTGATGCGGCGTCGCGGGAGGCTCCGTGGAGCGCGGCGAACTGCTCGCGGAGCAGCCTCGCCATGGACGGATGCGGCCAGTAGTCCCGACTCTGTACCGCAGCAAACGGGCGACGTCCGCTGGCAGCGTCGGCCCTGGCAGCGGCGTCAAGGACTCGAGCTCCAGCTCACTCGTTGACGTCCAAGTCGATCACCACGACGGAGGCCGTGGTGGCCAGCGCGCGGGAGGCTGCCCCAAAGAGCGGCACGTCCAGCACCAAGTAAGGGCCCAACAACCCAGAGAAGCCGCCCCCCTCCGCGGCCGCCAGCTCGGCGGCCGAGCGGAGGGACGAGGGAAGAGCGAGCAACACGCCACCATCCCGCTGAGCCAGCGGTATTGCGGCGAAGCTGCGGTCCCCCTCGTCGAGCAGCCACCTGTCGCGGCTCGTCGCAGATGGCGAATCGAATGGATGGAGCTCGGGCCACACGGGGCCCTCTGGCAGCGCTGGCGTTGCGGCCGTCGTCACCAGCGCTGAGGGGCTCTCGCACCCACTGTGACACGGATCGAATCCGCGGCTGAACTGACAGCGCGCACATCGCGGGCGGGCCCGCGCGGGCGGTCCGAAGGCCGACCCGAGGGGACTAGCCCCGAAGCGACGACGCTGGCCGAAGGGTTGACGCCGCCGTGCCGCGCGAGGCGGCTTGGGAGCCAGGGCCGTAGGCCAAGCAAGGCCCGAGCAGGTTGACGCGCCCAGCGCACCGCGAACGCGAGCCAGGAAAGGGCTCGCGCAACGGACCGCCAGGCCCGCGAGACAGCAGCCCCCGCAGAAGGTGCAACAGGCGGTCACTCCCAGAAGCGAAAGGACCGTCGCGAGCAGCAGAGGAGAGACCCCGCCGCTCAAGTCCACCGCCAGCCCGAGGCAGACGGTGGGGCAGGCGACGGAAGCCTCGGGAGCAGGGCACTCCGCCGCTGCCCTGAGGCCCGCCGCTGGAGCGGCCAGGAGGACCCGAACGCCGGGGCCTCCTGGTCCGTCAGAGGCAATGGGCGGGCAGCGAGCCGCTCGAAGAGCGCGGCTCGCAGACCCTGGTAGAACAGCACCGCCCGCATCCACCAACAGCTCGACGGCGTGCTGCATCAGCGGGCCGCGGGCCGAAGCGGGGGGGGGGGGCGGCCAATGGGCCGAAATCGCTGCCGAGACCGCGGGGGGGGAGTCGCAGAGAATAAAAGGGAGCAGGAGGAGGAGGAAGAGGAGGAGGAGGAGGAGGAGGAAGAGGAGAGGAGGAGGAGGAGGAAGAGGAGGAGGAGGAGGACCAGTGGAAACCCAAGAGTCATCAACGATGTTGGAACTAACCCTCCCTCCAAGCTCCCTCTTCACAGGCCCCTACAACGGCTCATTTCCATTGGGGGAACTGCCTCGTTGGAAAACAGCAGCTTGAAGATCCTGAAGCGTGCCAAAACATTGTTCTCGGGATTTCAAAGCCACGTATCAACCTGACTGCTGCGTCTTGGCAATCCAGAATCGTACCCGAACGCCGTTTGGGGGACTTCAAAACAGCGCATCACCATAACTGCTGCGCCCGCATAATCCTGTTTCCTTCTCAAACAAATTTTCTGATACGCTGAACATGGGAGCCCGTTAAACTGTTGCAAACGTTCAAAACGAATGTGCGCGGCGCTAAAGCGAGAGCCACATGTTGAACACCACCAGCCCTCAATCCGTGAAACTCTTGCAAGTGTTTAAACCGAATGTGCGCGGCGCTAAGGCGAGAGCCACATTTTGAAAACCACCCGCCCTCGATCCGTGAAACTCTTGTACATGTTTAAAACGAATGCGCGCGGCGCTAAAGCGAGAGCCACAATTTGAAAACCGCCCGCCCTCAATCCGTGAAACTCTTGCAAATGTTTAAAACGAATGCGCGCGGCGCTAAGGCGAGAGACACAAATTGAAAACCACCAGCCCTCAATCCGTGAAACTGCTGCAAGCTTTTAAAAACGAATGTGCGCGGCGCTAACGCGAGAACCACATTTTGAAAACCACCCGCCCTCAATCCGTGAAACTCTTGCAAGTGGTAAAAAAATGTGCGCGGCGCTAAAGCGAGAGCCAGATTTTGAAAACGGCGCTCAAGCGAGAGCCAAATACACCGAATGTGCGCGGCGCGAAGGCGAGAGCCACATTTTAAAAACGACCCGCCCTCCATGTGTGACACTGCTGCCACTTTGTAAGCTTCAGAAACATAAATGGTGATGAAATCTCAAGCGAAACTCCCGGCCCCGCCTTAAAAACTGGCCTCGGGGTGCGACAGGGAGGAGTTACTTCTACGGGAAAGGACTGATGGAGGAGGAGGAGGAGGAGCAGCAGGAGCAGGAGCAGGAGGAAGAGGAGGGTGGGGGGGCAGCGTTCTCCTGAATTCTGCTCGTCCTCAGTGCCCCGACTGGCCCGTCGCGGGGGCCACACGTTGACCCTCGCGGGAGGCCGGCGGCCCCGCGGGCAACCAGGCGGCCACGAGGCACTGCAGGGACGAGAGCGCGGCGCCGCAACGCTAGGAGAGAAAGGGCATTTGCGCGACACTTCGGATCGCCAGCGCACCTCCCTTCCAGCAGAAACACCGCTCATCGGCCGCCGTGGCAGCTCGGCCCCTTCCCACCACTCGCACGACGCTTGCTCCCAGCGCATGCGCGCCACTACCAGCACTACAACACCGACAGGAACATCGACACCGACAACCACGAGTGCAAACGGGCCACCACATACACGGAGCAGGCGCGTAGACCTATACGCGCCCACCCATCCAGATGACGGCCCAAGGTGCATCGTCTGCACCGGAACCTGAAAGACCACGAACTACCAGAGGCCACGACAAAGAACACCAGCAGCCAGAGAACCGCAGCTTTCCCCATTCCTTGCCCCCCCTCTCTCCCTTCCCCCCCGTTCCACCTCCAACGCCCCTGCTCCAGTCGCCCCGGCGCACACGCGGGGCGCGCCGAAGGGTGCCCCCTCCGAACCGCCCCATGCGACCAACACAAGCCCCCCCCGCTCCCCTCCGTCCTTTCCGCTCCCCCCCATCCGATCGGCACCGTACGACCCCCCTCCCCTTCTGCTCTGTTGTCTTCGCAGAGCTTGAGACCCATATGGGGTCAGCTGCTCAGACCCCTCATCGCTGCTCTGAAGCGGGCGGCACATTTCCGGCACCGCTCGCGCCACCGCGTCAGCCCGTCAGAAGCCTCTGTACGAAGAACGTGCACTCCTCCAGTGCGAGTGCCTCGGCATGAAATCAGATACCGGGGCACCGAAGAACGGACCCTCCCCTTCCCCTCACCTCATCCCCCGCTCCCCCCATGGAGGAGGAGGGGGAGAAGGAGGAGGAGGAGGAGGAGGAGGAGGTACAGGAACAGGAGGGGCAGGAACAGGAGGAGGAGGAGGAGGAGGAGCGGAGCGGAGCGTAGACAGGGGCCGTCACTCTCACCCTACCCGCGGGTGGCACGCGCCGTGGGCCCACCTGCTCTGCTTGGCGGCTCGGCGGCGTGAAACTCGAATTTCGTGTCGAGAGCCATGGTTTCATTCAGAGGAAGCGGCGGGAGCGGGGAGGAGGAGGAGGAGGAGGAGGAGGAGGAGGAGGAGGAGGAGGAGGAGGAGGGGGGAGGAGGAGGAGGAGGGGGAGTAGGAGGAGGAGGAGGAGGAGGAGGAGGAATCCCGACCACCCCACCGTCCCCCACCCCACCCCAGCGTCCCGGGGCTGCTTGCCGCCTTTCTTGCCGCCCTTGCCGCCCCAGTTCTTGCCGCCCTCGCCGCCCTCGGCATGCGCGCCTGGGCGCATGTGGGGGAGGGCGGCCGATCTGGGGGCGTGTGGTGTGGAGGGAGCAGCGGGGGGGAGGGGGCGGCGACTGAGGAGGACCGAGGAAAGAGGGCACGTCGTGGTTCCGTTCTGCAGAGCACAGCATGCAGGGCGGGAGAGGGAGGAGGAAAGAGAGCAGCGGCGGGTGACCGAACCGCCCGTCACACCCGTGCCTACAGACAGCAGGCACGCCCAGCACCTCTGGCCCCTCCGAGGCGAGGTGGGAGGAAGGAAGGAGGCAGGAGCGAGGAGGGGCGGAAGATGAGGTTTCAAGTGGGCCAGAGAGACACAAACACACACACACACACAAATCAATAGACACCTCTGGCTGCCTCTGTCATCATGGGGGTCGTCCTCCAGGGTCGGCGGCACTGGCCGTGAGGCCTTCGCAATGGGCAGAGACCCGTGGATTCCCCAGACGATGCTCCCTGTGTTCTGGATGCTGGTGTCTCCTTCCACTTCCCACATGTTCCAGATGTTTTCCTGGGAGTCGACGATGACGAAGGGGCCCCAGGACACACAAATAAATACACACTAATAAAAAGATTCCCCATATTTTCCCCCATTTCCTCCGTTTTTGTCTTCCCCCCCACTTCCCATGAGTTCCTGGGAATCGACGATGAATTGTGTCTGTGTGTTTTTTGGCCTTCTGCGATGACTTGTGTCTGTGTGTTTTTCCCCTCCTGAGGCGTGCGGCGTCGTGGTTCGGCCGCCGAGCGGCGGGCCCCAAAAGCCGTGCGCAGGCCACGGGGAGGGCCGCGGCCGGGCTCGTGGCGCGGCCTGCCCCCCGGATCGGGCCACCCTGCCCGGCAGGGCTGCTCCCGGAGCGGAGGAGGAGGAGGAAGAAGAGGAGGAGGAGGAGGAGGCGGAGGGGAAGGAAGAGTAGGAGGTGGAGGCGGAGGGGAGGAAGAGGCTGAGGTGGAGTCCGAGGACGGGAGGAGGAAAAGGAAGAGGAGGAGGAGGAGGAGGAGGAGGAGGAGGAGGAGGAGGAGGGGAAGGAAGGGGGGGTGGGCCGTGAGTCCGGGCGATGTGCCCGAGCGTCCCCGGCGCTGCGGGTCACAGCCGCGCCAAAGCACCGTCCCGAAGATCGCCGCCATCCAGGGCACTGGGCAAAAGTCACATTGCGTCAACACCTGTTGAGGCCATCCCAATGCATTCATCGTTTTACTCAAACAGTCGAAGTCCCCTCGTCCGCTCCAGCTCTGAGTTGGTTGTTCACTGCACAGGGAAAGCCCCGAAAGGCGTTCCTTGAACGGCAAGTCTCGCCATGCGCGAATCCACTATCCATCAGAAGGCGTCAAGTATCCCGACCCCTGCCACCGGAGCGCGAGTGGAGAATATCGATCAGCATCTCCTCGGGCGCCCCCTGGCCCCAGACACCGAGGGCCATGGGCGGGTCCCAGCCTGGCGCCACGACCCAGCGGAAGATGACCACCAGGTTGCCACGGCCTGCGAAGCGGCAGCTGCAGCGGGCCGCCGAGACGCAGACGCCCCCCACACAGCGGAAAAGCTACTGGGGAGCACAAGGCGTTTGCAGCAGCCCGAGGCATACGCATCGCCGTTCATCCAGACGCCGAATCCACGCGCAAGCACGTGATATGCGGCAGATTCATTCGCGGTTACAGCCCCGCTTTTGGTGCTCAGCGAGGTGGCCGTCCATCGCGTGGCAGCGCCATTCGGCAAAGCAGACCCGATACCCCGATGCCCAGTTTTACGTCGTCGCCCAGGTCCGATGATGTCAAGAAGACAACCTTGACTCACGACCAGGCATGAGGCGACAGGGAAAGACTGTCCACGCCAGCGCGCCAACTGGATACCCCTAGCGCCAGCGGACGCGGCCACTGCACTATCCCCCACTGTCCTAGATCACAAGATACTGCCTGGCCCGAGCCGCAGCCCTGACCGCCCGCAGCCGAGCCAAGTAGGCGTCCAATGCTACCAAGGACGCGGCCGCCGCCCAGTCCATGTCGTATTTGCTTCGTGATCGCGCGCAGGCCCACGACGCCATCGCGTTCCTGGCCTTCATGCGGCCAGCGGCCAGCGGGACACTGGCACGGGGCAAGCCAGGCGCAAGAGGAGGCTGGCCCCCAGACACGCGATGACCTGTTTATTTCAATTCGGGGTCTCCGGGATCCCCGCCCCTTTCCCCAGGGCAGGCTCTTCCTCGCAAGACGTTTGACTGTCCAGGGCCAGGCAAGGGCCCCCAGGAGGCCGAAAACGGCCACAAACCTCTCGTCGCGATGTTGCCACGACGCGCACATGTCGGAGCCGACGAGACAAAGACGCGAACATGTCTGGGCCAGGGCCGCCGCTGGCCACCGCTGCCCCCCCATGCTAGCATTGCGCCCGAGCGCGCGGCCGCCGGAATACCTCGTCGTTGTCGTCGTCGTCGTCGTCGTCGTCGTCGTCGTCGTCGTCGTCGTCGTCGTCGTCCCCAGTCAGGGTCGGCGGCACTGGCCGGAAGGCCTTCGCGGTACCTCCCAGTGCCATCGGCCCGACGGGGTGCTCGCACCCTGCAGCGTTGCGCACCACACCAACCGCGGCGCTGTCGTCGCTCACATTCCCAAGCGCCGCCCTCGTTGGAGGGGGCGGAGGAGGAGGAGGAGGAGGAGGAGGAGGAGCAGGAGCAGGAGGAGGAGGAGGAAGATATCCCATCGCCCTACAATTCCACATTACACGGCCTTCAGCGGTCCCCTACTATTCCTCCTCCCTCCTCCCCTCCTCCTCCTCCTCCTCCTCCTCCTCCTCCTCCTCCTCCTCCATCTCCCCTTCCTCCTCCTCCTCCTCCTCCACCTTCTCCTCCTCCTTCTCCTCCTCCTCCTCCTTCTCCTCCTCCCCCTCCTCAGCAGCAGCATCATGATCAGACCCACCTTCTCCTGAAGTTGCTCCTTGTTAGATTTGCGAAGTCATTGTGCGGAGACCATTGTCTTCCACACCTCCCCCATGAGTCTTCCAGGAGAAGACGGAGAAAAAAACAGTGGAGGAAGGAGAGGAAGAGGAGGACAAGGGGGGAGACGAAGGAGGGGTAGCACGACCCTGCCCCTCCACCTCCTCCTCATCATCCTCATCATCCTTCCCCATCCCGTTCTCGTCTCCTTCTGAGTCCTTCTCCTTCCACGCCCTCGCATTTCCTCATTGACCTCCTCCTCCTCCTCCTCAGCATCATCATCATCATCATCATCATCATCATCATCATCATCATCATCATCATCATCATCATCATCATCATCATCATCATCCATCATCATCCATCATCATCATCATCATCATCATCATCATCCTTCTCCTCCTCCATCCCATCCTCCGCCTCCTCCTTCTCCTCCTCTCTCCTCCTCCTCCTCCTCCTCCCTCCTCCTCCTGATCCTGATCCTCCTCCTCCTCCTCCTCCTCCTTCTCCTCCTCCTCCTCCTCCTCCTCCTCCTCCTCCTCCTCCTCCTCCTCCTCCTCCTCCATTCTTTCTCCTTATAGATAACTCCCCCCTGTCGCACCCCGAGGCAAGTTTTTAGGGCGGGCTGTTTGTTTCGCCTGAGACTTCCTCACCATTTATGACTCTGCAGCTGAAAAAGTGGCAACAGCTGCACAGATGGAGGGCGGGTGGTCTTCAACATGTGGCTGCCGCTTGAGCGCCGCGCACATTTGGTTTAAACGGTTGCAAGAATTTCACGGATTGAGGGCGGGTCGTTTTCAAAATGTGGTTCTCGCCTTAGCGCCGCGCACATTCGTTTTAACAAGTTGCAAGGGCTTCACGGATTGAGGGCGGGTCGTTTTCAAAATGTGGCTCCCGCCTTAGCGCCGCGCACAGTCTGATGAAAACTTCGCAAGAGCTTCACAGATAGAGGGCGGGTCGTTTTCAAAACGTGCCTCTCGCCATAGCGCCGCGCACTTTCGCTTGAAAAAATGCAAGAACTTCACGGATAGAGGGCGGTCCCTTCTCAAAATGTGCCTCTCGCCTCAGCACCGCGCACATTCGTTTAAACAATGTGCAAGGGCTTCACGGATTGAGGGCGGTTCTTTTCAAAATGTGGCTCTCGCCTTGACGCCGCACATATCCTTTCGTTAAAGCTGCATGAAGTTCACGGGTCCCCATGATCAGCGCATCAGAAATGGTGTGTTGGAAGAATTCAGGACCATGCGGGCGCAACAGTTATGCTGATTCCTTGTGTTGAAGCCGAAAAAAATGGCGTCGTGGCAATATTCTGGATCGCCAAGACGCAGCAGTCAGGTTGATACGTGGCGCTGGAATCCCGACAACATTGTGTTGGCACGCTTCAGGATTTTCAGGCTGTTGTATTCCTACCAGGCAGTTCCCTCGATGGAAATGAACCGTCGTTGGGGACTGTGAAGGGGGAGCTTGGAGGGAGGGTCAAGTCCAACATCGTTGATGACGTTTGGGTTTCCACTAGTCATCCTCCTCCGCATCATCGTCCTACATATCCTCCCCCTCTTCCATTATATTGTTCTTGGTATTATGCATAGGCGTATTTATATTACTCTGCATATCCTTGTTTACGGTTAATGTTATTAGTAGTCGTCATACTACTCGTGTTGCTCATGTTATTGTTCGTCTTGTTCAACTTAGTCGCATTACCATTATTATGATTATTCTTAGTAGTGTTCGTCTTATTAATATGAATAGTCCTGTTATTATTATTAGTAGTATTATTATTCTTACTAATGCTAGTATTATTGTTGATATTATTCTTCATATTATTAGTATTAGTATTCGTATTAGAAGTAGTAGTAGTAGTAATAGTAGTAGTAGTAGTAGTAGTAGTAGTAGTAGTAGTAGTAGTAGTAGTCGTCGTCTTCTTCCTCCTCCTCCTCCTCCTCCTCCTCCTCTTCCTCCTTTTCCTGCTCCTCCACCTCCTCCTCCTCCTCCCGCTCCTCCTCCTCCTCCTCCTCCTCCTCCTCCTCCTCCTCCTCCTCCTCCTCCTCCCCATCCTCCTCCTCCTCCTCCTCCTCCTCCTCCTCCTCC